CCTCCCCCCCCCCGAGTTGCCTTTTAGGTTTTACTGACTGTTTTGTGGTCACAACGCAACCCATGAATGGGTCTAGCTCTTTACACGACAGCTCATTTCACACCCACAAGTTCTGCCGTTGAAGTGTCACCCCAGGAATAACCACAGCGCTGGCGCTGGCAATGCTGTGCTATGTTGCTGCTGAAAGTGTATCCACGGTAGGGGCTGCCTGCCCCCTGCCACTGGCAAAAAACCTACGCCAAAGGAAAAAGAAAAAAAAAAAAGTTTCTTTCATGGTGGATCTACTGACTTGTATCAAACACGCTCAGTCTCATCTCTCTACTCTTGCATCCACTGGCTTATACTGACCTTCAGAAAAATAACTTACTACACTTTAAACTTTGCTGCAGCACATGGAAATTCAGTTTACTGAATAAATGGTCCACAGGCAAGTACTGCACGTTACGGGACACGGACAAGCTGGGTCCTTTTGAGGAAAAAATATTGGGGGAAAAAAAAAAAATGCCATTGATGCAAGGATACGCTTAATGCTGAACAAAACGTTGAGTCCTCTGTAACAATCATCTCCTGAAGCATGAATAACGATTTAATGGAATGAACAACCTGTTTTTTGAAAATAATGCCAAAACACTCAAAAAACCGTGAGCAAGACATGTAGCACCATATTTTCCTCACATGTTAATAAATGTATGCAGTACATACATACAACTGTATAAATGAACAGAGCGATTAATTAACATAAAAAATTCAGCTGGAAACAAATTCTAGCAGCAGCAGCAGATTAGAAATTAATGCGAGTTTTTTGTACTATATAGTATTTTTCTGCCTTTGCAAAATGTTGTATTGTCCAATCAAGAGTTGATTAAAATCTGTGTTGTGGAAAATAATAAAGTCTCTTTTTTTCTAGTAATACGGAACCCCCTGGAAAGCCATATTACTTCCATAAAAATTTAATTTAAAGCACAAAACATACCGATGTGCCAGTGGTAGGCTTAAAATATTAAAGATGATGATTTAAAAAAAAAAAAAACCCTAAGCATTTCCTTTCTGTACAATATTGGAGAATATATATCTATCTTTGCTATATATTTTAAACATGGAATAGCTTTTTCTTTTTGCTATATATAATATATGTCTTTCAAAATACATTGTCAGTATTTGTACTTGAAAAATACTGTACAAAACAAACATACTATAATTATTCTGTATAAACTTTATACATTTTATAATATCTATTCTTTTGGTCTATAGTAAACACTTAGATTGATTGGATTAACCACAGTATATGACAACACCATCCCCTTCTGAAATACACCAGTGTCTCTTACATTCATTTTTCAGAAGTCCACTTTATATTAGAACATACATGTTCAAAAGTAAATAGAGAGATTAAAATATAATAAAGTTCAGAACCATCAGTTCATGTCACACTCAAAACAACAATCACTAGGAAAGATGGGCTTCGCAAACCAGTGACTTTTTCTAACTGAATAAAAGTGATTTTTAAACAGCAAGATATAATCCACAGAAACTATATTACAAAACGTGGGAAAAAAAACAACTGAATTTAGGTATTTATTTAATTTTTAATCACAAAAGGGAACTTGAAGAAAGGCAAAACTAACTGAAAACAAAAAAAAAAAAAGCCCCTCTGATTTCAACATCGGATCTGATTTGATACTATTAATTTTTTTCTTGTTTCAACTAATTATCCTGCTTCTTATACATGCGCTCCCTGCAGCAGGGATACAATTAGCATGCTCACATTAATGTGTCTTTTATGTCTTAATTTTTTTGTTAACGACATTAAAACTCCTGTTGGGTAGGGAAACCATCCTACGTCCACTAGGAACACCCGGGCAGCATGCGCGCTAGCGTACAATAGGATTATTGCTTCAGGTACAGACAGTGCAAAATACACACTCTGTGGTCTATCAATAGTACTCCTAGCTATCTGGGGTCTGTGGAAAGGAAAGGAACCTTAATAGCTATAGATAAGCCATTATGGGATCTATAATGAGTATAGCTAACTCAGTCTAACAGCACTTTAAATCTGAAGACAATTATCACCAAAACTTAAAATACAACAAAAGCAATCTATAAATTAATATTTCTGCAGTGTAGTACTAAATTATTATTTGTGCACTTTATTAGCATGTTAACTTTTCTGATTAGACATACTTAAACAATAGCTTGTTACTCTCGAAAAACTGAGATCTACTTTTTTTCTTTTTTCTTTTTTTTTTTCCTTTTTTTATAATTTATACTGGGATCTTTCCAAGTAAATCAGGAGGATGGAGCTGGTTACAATAACATAAAAACCGTAGTCTGAAGCAGCTCTGAAAAAATATAATAAAAAGCTTACTATGGCGGTTCTCAACAGTCCAGGTAAAAATGTGGCACCCTCTGAAGAGGGCTTCATAAAAATGGGAAGTGCTGAGACGCGTGCGCACGCACAGACACACACACGCACACACATACACACAAGCACACAGATACAGACACGTGTGCACACATACGCAGGTACACGCATACGCAAACAAAAAAAATAAAGTAAGTCAGTTTTGTTTCTGCTTCTGGTAAAGTGCTGAAGACAGAAAGGTTGGTTTGGGTGTGGTGCTATCAAACAGGAAACACATTGTCCATCTATTCAAATGCCAACCTGCAACAACAAAAAAAAAAAAAAAGAAAAAAGAAAAAGACCCACTTCCCCCCCTTGAATTTACAGGGGGCCGTGTCGAGCTTCGTACTTTGCAAGGACGTTCTTGCATTTGCCCAGCTCTTTCCGTAAGTCGGCCACCTCTTGGCGGAGAGCCGAGTTCTCCTTCTCCAGAAACGAGGCGCGGATGGCGATCTGGTTCTCCTTCAGGCGGCGGGCATCCCTCGATCGCTTAGCAGCCATGTTGTTCTTTCTGCGCCTTGCCCAGTATTTGTCATCCTGCTCATTAAACACAGAAAGAAACAAACAAAGTATTAGATTTCAGTAAACTGAGCGGTGGTCACCAGGATCTACTCTTAACCACAACCTCTGGATTGGCGGTCACTTCACACCGCATATTTTGCTGGCCATGGCCTATTTCGCTTGCATGGCCCACTGAACCCTGACAAAGCCAGCTACGGCTCAGACAAAAGTTATAGATTTACATGACATAAGCCATCCAGTGAGCACAGAGGCCTGCCCATATTCCTGTCCAAATAACCTCATCACCCTATTGCCTGAACTCCTCCAAGGAAAAACGAAGCCATACCCCAGCAGTACACTTCAGCTCACATCTACCCTGACCTAGTTAGCACAGCCGCCTTCGCTTGCCATGACTCGTTGGCGGCTGGTCGCTGGGGTAGCACTAATTCGCTATACTGTTTCTTTACTTCTTGTGTATGTCCCTGCACATCTTCCTTGCCAGCCTGGTTCATTCTGTTTGTTATTATTACCCATTTCCTCTATTTTTCCTCTTTCTTTCTCTAGCCAAAGCTCTTTTGCTACAAAGCGCAAAGGACCTTTGCTTTGCGCTCTGGAATAGCAAGTCATTGGAAGAGGATTTCTTGGCACTACTTTACAACCACGAAGAAAAAAGTATCTGCCAGAAAAAGGTCCATCTTGCCCCTAAAGTTTCTTAAGTTAACACATTCCCAAAGCGTTATCCCTAAAGACTTGCTGCTGGGAGCTCACCTAAGCTATATTTGTGCATCAAAGGCTGCAAGTCACTATATGCGTTCACCTGATTTTTCTAGTTTCCAAATAAAATGGCCTTCAGCAAAACGGCAGCTTCAATGCTGCTTTGATCTAAGCTAAACTGAGTTAAGTTCTAGCACGAGCAACTGAGTGAGTAGAAACTGGGCAGAATCCCTTAAAAAAAGTATAATTCAGCCCTCTGCAGAACGGATGATACAGCCGTTCAACCCCACTCAAACTGCCTGGTCAAGTCATATAGGTCAAAACTCCCCTCCCAGAGTCATCCAGTCTATTTTTATTTCCTTGCATTTGTTTATGCTCTGAGTGCAGCTCTCTTGTTTCAGCAAGAGTGTGCTGTAGCAATGCACCATTTCCACTGTGAGATCAGGCAGACATCTGCTCCTAGCTTGCACCGAACAGACAAATACTGTAACCACTCATCTGTTATTCAGCACAAAGCATGGCAGGCCTAATACTGCTGCTCTGCACCTTCTGCCACTCCTTGCACAATGCAAAAGAAGAGCAAAACGACTGCTGGAAGTATTCTACACCTGTTTTGCATTAGTTTAGCTTAACAAGATGTGCAGCAATGATGATTTGGATCCAGTGTATCGCTAAATTGCCTTTTACCTGTACTTAGACGGGACCCCCAAAAAAATCCTCTTGAAAACAAGCATGCAGCAAAATGCTATGACCCAAATCTTGTTTATAATTTCCCATCTCATTCCACTCCATAAAAATCAGCTTTACACAATTTATTAGTGTGCCATCTAGGCTTCATCCATCTTTATTTTAACAAATTGCTATGGCAAATCCCTTAATCCAGGCCTGAAAGAGGTAAGGCTGGCATTTCAGAATCACATGCAACCCAGAGACGATTGACTGGTCTAATCTGCTTACCCTCCCCCAGAACTCAACAGCCACTCCACATGCCAGGACAGAAGCAGCACTTGGGTCAAGCACTTTTAAAAGAGTCAAGGGCAACTGATGTGATTATCTCAGAGAAATGAGGGACCCCGAACTTCTAATTCGGTCTTGGACTGAAAACTTACAGACTCCACAGTTGCCTACAAGACACTGACATGTGCCACCTCTGATATGAAGTAGTCCAAGGGCATCTTTGGCAAAAGTTTGCTCTGACATATAAGGATACCTAGGAGATATCACAAGACAACAAATGGCATTAACTAGAGTGGGCCCATTGGAGTGGGCAACTCCACGTTTCCTTACACCTGTGTAGCTGTTTCTATATTGAACACCTTTCTTTAGGCAGACCTATTAGTACACGGCAATATCAGTGGAGCATCACTTGTAGTAAAATTTGCCTGCGACAGTAATGACGTGGTGCACGTGAATCTTCCTGAACGAAGGCTGAGCATACTAGAGACAAAGGAACAGCAGCACATCACCTGAACACCACTGGAATTCTGATTTCTGTGCTTTTAATTTGCATGACGTTATCCTTAGGGACAAATACAGCAAATAGCATCAACGTATTTTCCCAATACTATCAATTTGGTGTAAACACATGGAATCCTAGTCTCTTTGGGTACAGAGCCAAAGATTCCCACTGACTCCAACAGGCTTTCAGTCTGTGCCTTGGGGGGCAGAAGCAACAGCAGAATGAAATTATGCACTGACAACCAAAAAAAATCCTCTTGGAAATCACATACTAGGAATAGAATTTTGCAGATAATGGCAATTTTCACAGTTATCTGATATACTAAATCAGCTGATCAATTTGTTCTGCTCTCTTCTGAGAATTTCTCTGCTGTTCACATCTCAGCAGCAGCGAAAGACAGGGGAGGGTGCTCTTTCCTTTTAGATACTGTATTATTGCATACTGTTTTAAATACTAGCTTAGAATACACCTTTTTGGCAGTGTGTTTTCAGTGCTTCCTTTGTAGATGTCTGTTTTCTGACATACAATCCTCTCTGCAGATACTCTACCAGACAGAACTGCCCAGCTTCAATTAGAGGCTGTAACCCTATTTCCAGTCTTCCAGGGGGCTACTTGCAGGCCTTTTTCAAAGGCTTTTTTAAACAGTGAATTTAATTTGTATGTGTTAGTCTTAGGACCTTCACATCTTTCCACCCTGTGACCAAGGAAAAATCAGGCCTCCACTGTGCTTTAGTATCACTGCTGATGTCTTGGCTTTCTCACAGCAAATTTCCAAATGCTTGCTGCTAGTCAAAGAAATTAATACTGTGACTACTTACCTACAGACACAGTTCCTAAACAACAGTACACAGGGCCCATTAACACAGCTTTAGAAAGAACACATTATGGAGCTAAACCACTGAATAATTAGAATAATTTTATTCTGTTTTCCTACAATTAGTTTAGCCTCTTTTACCTGGATTAGTAATGTTTAAAGCAGTATTTTCCTCGGTTATTAAAAACAGAGCTAAAGAAATTTCCAGACAAGACAGAGTATACTTCATTCTGTCCTTATCAGGGATCTGCCCGGACTACACCCTCTAAGAGATGGATTCTTCCTAGAAGAATTTACAATCTATGCCGATGAGACAGACGGGGGTGGAGGAAAAGGAAACATGATCAGACTGTTTCATAAGTGAGAAATATAGGACAAAGTAAGCTTGTGACCTAGGTCATGCAGGAAGTTTCTGGCATACAGAGGAAATGAATATTGATCTCATGAATTTCAGCTGTTGTCTGTCTCAAAAGGACACCTGTCCCCCAGTTTAACTTGAAGCTGTTCTAGTTTCATTCTGCATTAAGTCACATTTAGTTTGGTAGATTTACATGAGAAAAGGGATTCAGGCTCCAAACCTATATTTCAGAAAATGACTGTGACAGAGTCGGTGTAGGAACAACCTCGTCACCAGTTCCAATTTACCTTCAGGTCATCTGGAATGAAGACTTTGCGAGCTTTCTTAATCATCGGTTGTGGTTTCAGCTCTTCCTCAGAGAATTTGCGCTTACGAGGGTCAAACATCTCCTGGCCAGGAATACTGGAAAGAGCAAGATCTGCAGGGTCAGGTTCGTAGCCAACGGGAACTTGGATAGTCTCAGGATCAATAGGACTCGGTGTGTTTCGGTTTGTTGGCAAGATCTGACCTACAGAAATAAAATATGAATTACAGCTATGTTAGAACACAAAAGGTAACTAACGTCACTGAATATGGTTTTAGAGGCTCTCTAAATACTTTACAAGCAATAATTCATTAAGCTTCCACGTAAACTCTGGTAGCTACTTTGATTAAATATTAGAATGTGCGTTTTGTGTTATGCATATTCAGGTCCAGACGTGCTCATGCCATTATATTCAGAACAGACTCCTACTTCTGGTTGCTCATTTCAGATGTTCAGCTTAGGATCGCTGAATCCAACACTGAGTTCTGCTAGAGTGCGGGCAGAGGAAATACCACTCCGACCTGTGGCACTCTGTTAAGATCACATAATCAGGAACAAATCATAAGTACTGTCATTTAGCTCTGATTTATCCATGACACTGTAATCCTTCCCAGATTTCTCATAAACAGATTTCTTCATGTATGTCTTCAAGGGTACCTTTAGTACAGGATTAAACAGTGTCTAATATTTGCAAAAGGAGAATATTTGATGTAAACGTACTGTCAAGCTTTGCTGAAATGCTCTACTTAGGAGGATGCTAAATGCTTTCTATGAAATCCCACTGGTTACGTTCTAAAAGGCATTGAAAGAAACAAGTAACATGACAGGCTACAAAGACTACTTAAAGATACTCTGCAAAAATGAAAGGACACACATATATGCCACATTGCTCTTCTATGGTATATGAAAGCTACTTAAAAGAAGCCTATCACCAGAAAAGACCTGTTTGCCCCCCACTTTTCTTTTTTAATCTTAGATATATCTTTCAAGATCCCAGTTTCATAGCATCAATGCAGGCACCATTCCCACTAAAAACCAAATTTAAAATCCCAGCCAAAGATTCCAAAAATAGGATCCTAAAGTCAGCTGCCTAAACATGGACTATCCCCAGGGGCAGAATTTTTAAAAGTTTTCACATGCCTTAGAAGTAAAAGTATCGCAGACTTCAGAAGAAGGAGTTGTAATTGAAGTTTATAATTTTGGCTATTAGCTAATTCACTATGACTTAGGGATATGCTGGCTTTCATAATAACTTCACAAAACATCCTGCGACTGCATAATATTTCCTTATTTGTGTCTGTATCTGTAATATTTATGGTGTAATCTTTAAATGCTATTTCTAATTCCAAATCAAGGTCAGTGTTAACAATGTAGTTTTTATTTTAATCTAACAGATAGCAGCAACAATATTGGAACCGCGCAGAAAATGCGCTGGGGAATTGCGCCGCACAAACCAGGGCTTACTACCAGAAAGCTCGTCTTTGTAACACCTATTTTAAAATAGCACTGATAAAATCAGCTTCCAGGAAAGGCTAGAGGGCCTGGGAGAAGAAAAAAGGAGGATCAAAGTTATTTGATTAAAATACATATAAATCTATACGAGAGAGACAGAGAGAAGGGAAAGATTTCGGTTTACCCTCATTGTACCAACAGCAGAGCGTTTCCTCTTCTGCCTCAGGATGTGGCACGCTGCTGCCAAGACCTTGGTGCTGAAAACTAGACATTTCCTGTTGTGCTTCATTAATAAAATCAGAGAAAGGCTTTTCCTTCTCCTCGTAACAGGGAAAATTCAAGTTGTGCACCAGCACAACAATTTAAAAGGAAAAGGCTAAGGGAAAGCACACAGAGAGAGAGAGAGAGAGAGAGAGACTTTCATTTTTTGTGTGTGTAAAGTTTTCACAAGAAAGCTTTTCAGCTATCCCTGGAGATAACTTTGATTAAATTGTGTGTTTAAAATGTTTTCGTATCTTTAAAGGTAGGAGGGGGGAAAAAAACACACACATCGGCTATTGACTGTTTTAAAGCCAGCCCAAGAGGCTCAATAAACCGAGGCATTTTTGTAGCCTTGCTTTAAATGGATGGCTAATCTCATTTCAAATATAGGGGCTGGCAGAAACAGGCTTATTTAAAGGATTAAATGCAGGAAAGCTTCCTTTGAAGTTAGCACACTTGTATCAGAGCAGCCGGACATTTTCTAACGCAGAAAAATACACAGACATACAGATGCCCATATCTTGCAAATTCGGTCATACAGCTAAAAGTGAAACAAGACCCTAGCTCTGAATACTTGTATAGTATCCTGGTGAGCCTGCCGGTTGTTTCTAAAAGGCAAGTGGATTGTGAATCCTGCCCCTGCTTTCTAATTGCCCTAAGCAAAGAAGCATGTATTTAAATATTGCTGAACTTCCAGATACATAGTATCCGTTCACATGTTAGCATTTATCTAGAAGGTACTCTCTTATACAATTATATAAGCTCTGTAATCTTTGGCCTGAAGAAATTTTACACTATCTCTAATGAAGAAAAGCGCTAAAGTGCTCCTTTTAAACATGGGAAATTGAGGTATTACAGCTTGCCCAGTGCAACAGCAAAAAGCCCCAGACATTTCAGAGTAATAAATTTACTCCCAGGGCTTTCAGTTCTTCCTCATTTCTGAAACAACTCTCTCCCAGACAAAGTAGGCCTTCTGTGTGCTTAACATGAAATGTAATTTTAAGGCAATAAAGTAAAGAAAGATGCATCTCCAAGGTGACCTGTTAAAAGAACCTACGCTAGCCAAGATCCTGCCTTCTCTCCATGGGGAAATGGCACTTTCCCTGGTCTAGAAGCTCTCAGTGCTGAGGCCTGGTCCTACAGCAAACATCAGATGGCCCACGTGCCAACGCAAAGCTCATTTAAGGGCTAATGCTCTTCTCTCATGCAAAGTCTGAAAAAAAATATACACACTGCTAAAGATAATCAGCTAGGAGTCTACAGATTATTGTGCTGTAAAATTTTCATACACTCACAGCACATGGACACCCCTAAGTAGCTGTCTATCTGGGTTGACCCTCCACTCAGTTATACTGGTGGTCAATGATCAGGAACTCCACTGAGAACAACAGAGTTAATAAGGGTATTTAAAACCACGGGGAGAAAAAACAGTATTTCCTTGTCCAGTGTTTCACATTAGGCAACTGCTGGCACTTTATATCTTTTTATTTATTCTATCAAGTTTTGCCAACAATATAAGCCAGGAACCTGTCTTCATTAGTTTACTGGCTAATGGCCACAACATCTATGTGGTGCTGGAACTGGTTGTAACCTAACACGACAGCGTGGGCTGCGGTGGAGTTGGCGCAGCTCTTACTGCAGAAGTACAGTATGTGGCCTCACGTTACACTGCTCTCCAACCTCCTCTCCCCCCTATGAGCATGGTACTTTAGCTGCGCATCCTTCTGCCAAATTTGTTCAGGGCGTTATTTTTATGCACTAAATTCCTCGCAATCAGAGGTAGGTCAAATAAGAACAGCGATCTGAATGTCATGTGCCTCGCAGCCGACTAATCCCCACATCAGCAAGCTTCACAGCTGTCACAACATCCAGAGAAAGAGCTGGTCAGCAGGGACTGCAAGGTACAAGCAAGCAGCCAAGGAGGAAGCCTACAGTGCCAGTCGCCAAGGCCAGGTGAACACAAAGCCTCTCATTGCCCAGCATCAGGGGCCAGATTCTTTTGTTGCCGTCTTGGTATTATTTAAACACTCTGTACTCACAAGAGCAGCCAAATTTTCACAGAAGTGAAGTGGCTGGACTGTTTAATGTGCTTAACTTTGTTCTCAGTGGGGGCTGACGATTGCCAAGTGCTTTGGAAAGAACTTAGCCCCTCTGTTTAAGTTGCTTAAATGAGAGCACTTGAGCATTGAGCTCTTCTGGAAATCCAGCTGCAGAACTCTATTACGGTGGAAGCAAGTGGGAACAATGGTTAATGGAAACTTCCCCTCATACCACCCTAGTGATGCGTCTCAGCCATGGCCCGGAGAGACCACAACTATGTCAACACTGGCCTTTTGCCTGGAGACTTTCCCATTTGTAGAGCTCCACCAAAGCAACACTGAATATGCCAGGATAGTCAGAGCTCCAGGTGTCTCCTGGCAAAGAAACCAGCAGGTTTCAACAACTCCAATAGCTACGGCAGCCCCAACATCTTGCCTTCATGAATGTTCTTGGTGTTGTTCTGGCAGAAGCTAGCAATAGCAGAAAATTTTCCAGAAAGAAGGACTTGAAAGAAATCTGGCTGTTCTAATCCTTTCAGCCCTTCTCCTCCCAGCAGTGACTGCCAGTGAAGAAGTCAAATGTAATGGCTATATTTTCAGTGTGGTTCCTTATTTACAGAGTAATGGACTCAGGCCATCCACTCGTGTCATCTAGGTCACTGAACAGCTGGTAAAAAAACAGCAACTTTCAACTGCTAGCAATGTAAATTAAAACTCACAAGTATAGCAGTATTTTTACATACCTACATCAGTAAAACACAGATCAGGTATTGCGAGGTCTCAGCCATGGTATCCTAGCTCTTAATTTCCCCCTCTTTAAACATCCTACCTACCAGCTGTGCCCAGGAGAGTTAGGAGGGAAATAACCTCTTCAACTGTACCACTACTTCACAGGCTTTTTATTTGCATTGCAAGAGATCCCCAATGAGGTATGTGGAACTCAATTTTGAATCATTCAACTCCCATAAAAACATGCCTGACTTTCAGAAAATCTCCCTTCTCACAAGCCTTCCACACTTTTCATCAGCTCAACAGCTGGCTGGAAACCAGTGACTGAGAAAAAGAAAAGAATAGGAGGTAGAAATGTTCTAACCAAAATATATATATTTTTTATCGTTCTATTTTTTATACATATGTTGGAGGGAAAGAAAAGAGCAGTTTATTAGCAACCCAGAGATAAAGTATGTGTTTGACTACAATTTTTCTTCATGCAAACTACAGGCACTTTGGGTATGTCAGCTATACTATATAGTACGTCAGTTAAATTGACACATGATCCACACCCAGAGATGCTCTAGAGAACCCTACTGCTCTGTCGATATGTTTTCCAAATCTTCTTTCCTTTTGGCAGTTGGCCAGCTATTTGGGATAGTTCTCTTACTCCAAATCACAGACTGTCCCAGACTAATCTGTGATCTATTTTTACATTAACTCTTTCAGCCTCAAGGCAAA